GAGAGAGAGAGACAGCAAGAGAGGGGACACAAGCAGGGGGAGTGGGAGAGGGAGAAGCAGGCTTCCCGCTAGGCAGGGAGCCTGATGCGGGACTCGATCCCAGGACCCTGGGATCATGACCTGAGCTGAAGGTACATGCTTAACGACTGAGCCACACAGACGCCCCGCATAGTGTTCCATCTTAAGGCTTAAGCATAATTGATTGAATCTGCCCTTACTTAATGAACATTTAGGTGGTTTCCAGTATCTTTTTAAATTTTTTAAAAAATGTTATTATTTATTTATTTTTTAAAGCAAATTCTACACCCAATGTGGGGCTTGAACTTACAACCCCGAGATCAAGAGTTGCATGTTCCGGTGACTGAGCCAGCCAGGTGTCCCCAGTATCTTTTTTTTTTTTTTAGATTTATTAATTTTGGGGGGGGCAGAGGGAAAAGGAGAGACAGTCTTTTTTTTTGTTTGTTTGTTTAAGGATGCTATTTATTTGACAGAGAGAGCAAGAGAGCACAAGCAGGGTGAACAGTAGAGGGGGAGAGAGAAGCAGGCTCCCCGCCAAGCAGGGAGCCCAATGTGGGGCTCGATCCCAGGACCCTGAGATCATGACCTGAGCCGACCTGAGCCGACCTGAGCCGAAGGCAGATGCCCAACCACCTGAGCCACCCAGGCGCCCCAAGGAGAGACAGTCTTAAGCAGACTCCGTGCTAAGCAGGGAGCCCGATACGGGGCTCAATCTCAGGACCTTGAGATCACGACCTGAGCTGAAACCAAGAGGTGATCGCTTTACCCACTATACCACCCAGGCACCCCCACCCCCCTGCCCCAGTATCTTTTTTAACTACAAATAATGCTGCAGCATGTATTTTTGTGTTTGTGTGAAAGTATATTCATACACACCCATTCCTAGCAGTGGAATTGCTGAGTCAAATGAAAAATTTTGATAGACATTAACAAGTTGCTCTCTAGAGAGGTTACATGTGGTAGGCAGAATAAGAGCCCCCCCAAAGATATCCATGTCCTAATTCCTGGAACCTTTGAATATGTTACCTTCTGTGGCAAAGGGGAATTAACATTACAGATGGAATTAAAGTTGCTAATCAGCTGACCTTAAGATAGGGAAATGATCCTGGGTTATCTGGATGGGCCAGTTGTAATCACAAAGATCCCTAAAGAGAGAACCAATGACATGGCAGTGTGATAAGGACTTGGCTCAAATTTGCTGGCTTTGAAGTTGGAGGAAGGGAGCTAGGAGCCAAGGAATGCAGGTGACCCTTAGAAACTGGAAAAACAAAGAAAAGAACAAGGCAAAGAATGCAGCCCTGCTTTTAGCTTTGCTTTTAGCCCAGTGAAATCTGTGTTGGATTTCTGACCCACAAAACGAAAAATAATAAATGATAAATTTGTCTTATTTTAAGCCATTAGAGCCTTCTCTCTTTTTAAATAGTTTCCTCCTTCACATGAGTACTCCTTTCTACATTATTTGAGGAATGTTTACAATTTAGTGTCTTATCATTCATGTTTTTGGTTAAATGGAAAATTTGCAACCGTAATTATCTGACTGTTACACTTTTGTTCTTTGCTAATTAACTCTTTGGAAAATTCCCATGTGGGACATGGGCCATTTTTTTTTTTTTTTTTTTTTGGCAGTGGGCAGAATGTGAGCAGGATGTGCCGAGGGGTCATTTCTGCAGTGCTGATATCACTGCTGACCAGCCTGCACTGCAGAAACACTGCGGGAATAGAAGTTGATCAGTGGGATTTGTTTTCTGCCACCAAGATGGCAGCCTCCATGATTCACTACTTTGCAAGACGGGCCAGAGGCATTGTGTATGCAGAAACGTTTACATCTCCATGGTAGCTCAAGTGACCATGGTGAGTGAAATTAACAGAGCGTAAATATTCCTCATCAACTCATTTAATACCTCCACGGCAGACTAGCAGTAGTAGCTGTACCTGGTCTTTTCTCATTCTGCATGTTTAGTCTGCCCTGACGTGGTGTTGGTTCCTAAACTCAGGAGCTTCGCTGGGTGAAATCTGAAACTGGCTCCTAGATGTAGAGGACAGTGAGAGACTGAAGAAAGAGGCAGGCCACTCAAGATTAGTAGGTGACAGTTTTTCTTTTTTGTTTTTTTAAGATTTTATTTATTTGACAGAGAGAGACACAGTGAGAGAGGGAACACAAGCAGGGGGAGTGGGAGAGGGAGAAGCAGGCTTCCTGCTGAGCAGGGAGCCTGATATGGGGCTCGATCTCAGGACCCTGGGATCATGACCTGAGCCAAGGCAGATGCTTAACGACTGAGCCACCCAGACACCCCAGTAGGTGACAGTTTTAATAAGCAAGGGAAATTACACAGGTGGCTTGTCTTAGGCAGCCACAAGATGAGTAGATCTCTGCACCCACCCACCAGAAACTTAGAAGTTTATTTGGAGGACTTAACCGGGTTCACTCACATATACCATCCAGATGGTCTCAACAGCATTTTGCTGTCCCAAGGCCTGTGTTCTTCAAACGACTCCCGTTGTGAGAATGGTGGGTAGAATGTACACTCAAGGACAGTGGAGGGGGGTGAGGAGCTTCCAATTGCCCTGGTCTACCTTGTGGGTCAACCCGTGGTCATTGTCCTCTTGATGACCTCCTCCAACATGAGGGAACCCCCTAACCCCATACGTTGAACCCTACAGACTGGCTTGACCATCTCTGTATTTAACATCTCTTCAAATATATTTATAGGGCATCTGCTATGCTAGGTATTTAGAATATAAACTCTTAGCCATGCAGAACTCACAGTTTATGGAGACAAATAATCAACAATCACAGGAACAAGTGTGAAAATGCTATTGTGGCAGTTGCTACAAAGAAGAGACACATGGATTTGTAGTCAGGAGATTCCTCCTTGTCAGGGAGAGCAGAAGAAAGGCCTGGGTGAAATATGTAGATCTGTGTCCATGTATTTGTATGCCACCATAGGTAAAGGGCATAGAGTAAGTAAAGGACCTAGAAACATTGCATAGCCAGGTAGAGGAGGATGAACAGAGAGAAAGAATGGCCAGAGAGTTGAAGGGAAACCAGAAAAGGGCTTGTATCCAACCAGAGGAGCCAAGCAAGGAGAGTGCAGTTAAGACTAGTAAGAGCCCAGGATGGGACGGTGTGTCTGTACGAATCAAGGATTTCTATGCCGCAGGGGCCATGAGGTGGTAGGGCACACCTGGATTCAAGTGTGGTCCTATTTCCCTTTAGCTGTGTGGCCTGGGGGAAAAAGCTGTCTGGCTTCAGATCTTGCATCTGTAAAATAGAGATGATACTTTCCTCCAAGCGTTATTGTGGAGATGAATTAGCATATGCAAGGGGTCTAGCACTTTGCAGCTTCTCAATAAAGATTGTTTCCTCCCTTTCATTATGTCTCTGTCCACTCATTTATTCATCCGTTTTAGCTGTTACTCTCCTTGATGACTTAGCACTGGTTTTGGTGACGTATCTATGAGGGTCAACACCTGTCCTGTTTCCATATATCCCTGCACTCGCCTGGGTACCAGCAAGCTGTTGTGAGCCAACAAATCAGTTCTCTGGATATGGGAGGGAGCCAAGCATACACCTATGTGCCTCTTGGTATGCAGACAGACAGAGCAACAGGGGTTGTGTAAGGACATAATATACCCTCCTTCATCATACCGAGCTTTTCCATAGGAACTCCAATTACCAAAGTGAATGCCTAATTCTTGTCTCAGGACATGTTTGTGCACTTGCATTCCTGCAAATGCAGAAACCTCCAATAGTTTAGTAATAAATGACCCATCACAATTTCAGATTTCTTTCCAGAGACAGCATTGACCCTCCCAGATTTTTCAGATTGGCTAGAAGCAGCCACTCCCTCCTCCTTTCCTTCATTTTGGTCTATCAAGTACAGTGAATGGACAAAAATGCAGTTTTCCCTACTGGTTAAGAGCTTTTCCTCTGCCTGCCACCTCTGATGGTTTTTACAGTGTGGCCCTGGCTTTGGCAACCACAGTTAACTATTAACCACTGGGAGATAACGTAATTCCCTGCTTGCCTTAGGTTAACTAAACGTCAGAAAAGAGAGACGGACAAATATTTCCACTGCCAAATAGAAATACAAGGATAGGGGCGCCTGGGGGGCTCAGACGGTTAAGCATCTGCCTTCAGCTGAGGTCATGATCCCAGGGTTCTGGAATCGAGCCCCGCATCGGGCTCCCTGCTCAGCGGGGAGCCTGCTTCTCCCTCTGCCTCTACCTGCTGCTTCCTCTGCTTGTGCATGCTCTGTCAAAAATAAATAAAATTAAAAAAAAAATACAAGGATAATTCTGAGATTGAAACGGTTGGTTTCTTATTATTGACGGGGGCCATGTTTTCCAAACCAAACACGAGGACATAACATTTCACAAGCAAGAGAGTACTTTCAGGGACAGGCTACTCTATTAATTGGAATTGTTAAAGAAATTCCAGGGCTCGGCGATCACATAGCTACTCAGCATGGGAAGCACTTAAATGATAACGGAGCTAATGATCATATTCCCCTTTCAGAATGGACCCTGTAGACATTTTAACATACTGACGGGGGGCCATAAAGAGAGGTGACGGGAAGGGAAACTGGAGCTCTCCCAGCATCCTGCGACCCAGGCACCAGCGCGGCACCGGGTCCTTCTGCGGCCGGCGCCCAGTCCGGGAAGCCCGCTTCGGCACTGCGCGTGCGCCGAGCCTCGCTCGCGTTCCAGGTGGAAGGTGGCGCGTTTGGGCGTTCATGGCAACGCCACGCTTCCGCCTTCTGGAAGCCTTGGCTCCAGCTCCCGCACTGTGAGACCCGTCGGGGTAGGGGGAACCTGGGCTGAGTCCGGGGTGGGGACGGATGGGGGGACGAGGGGGCTGGGGGCAGGGGAAGCTGCTGGAAACGTTTGCCCCAGGGAGTGAGTTACACTAAGAAAAATCAGTCCAAGGCTCAGCACAAAAGGATCTTTTCATTCCAGTCCTTTCGCCCACGCAGGGAACGATGCCTCTGGAAGTGGTGGTAGAACTACAGATCCGGGCGGTAAGAGAAGTCGGCGAACCTCCACTCCTCGCTCCAAATCAGACTCTTTCCCCCAGGGTTCCTAAATGGTCGCGATCACGTACACCACCTCCTCCCCGCCTCACGACACACACATCATCATTATCTTTTGGGACAGATCGTACCTCTGTGTCCCTAAGAGCTCTACATTGGTCTTCCCTGATTTCTTTACCTTTAATTCAGCCCAACCTCTTTCAACATTTTGGCCCCCTAAAGGACTTGTTAGCTTTATCCTAAAATTGTCTGTTATTTTAGAATAATCCTGCATTAAGTCCAAGAAGAATTTTATTTTTTCCCCCAGGATAAAGATTTGTGAAATAATAATAATAATAAAAAACCCCCAAACAACCCTCCTTTAAATAACAAGGGAAGAATTCAATTTCAGAAAGCCCAATCACTTCCTGATAACTTGCCACCTCTGTGAACCAATGGAATATGTATTTTTAAAATATTTTATTTATTTGTCAGAGAGAGCAAGAAAGCACAAGCAGGGGGAACGGCAAAGGGAGAAGCAGGCTCCCTACTGAGCAAGGAGCCCCATGTGGGGCTCGATCCCAGGACCCTGGGATCATGACCTGAGCTGAAAGCAGACACTTAACCGACTGAGCCACCCAGGCATCCCCTAATTGAATATTTTCTAAGTATTTCCCCAAGAGATGGCTCTGGCTTGCTAATTCCAAAAGGGGTCATTCAGTCAACACTTGTTTTAGAATTATCCACCGAATCCTGCATAAGTGAGGTGCTGTGGCAGAGTGACTGCATTGTTCCTGTTTGGGGTCAGTCACTACCCTGAATTCAGCTTCTGTGTTCCAATCCTTCCATCCGTAGTTGGTGACAGACTGTCATGCAGCTTTGCCTGCCAGCTATAGGGGCTTCTCTACCGGCCGTGATTACAAGCACAGTGTCAGTAAGTTATGGCCACGGAAAATCTGGTGAGCCTCCGTACAAGTGACAAGTGCTGTGGTTTCATGATACATGCAGTTCTGAAAGACAAAAATGTCCTGGATTTGTCCCATTTCGCTGAGAGCAAATAGGACTAGACTCTATCAAATTGTGCTACATCGAGTGCTGCCGACCCTCAAAATTTTGCAGTAGGGGGAAGGAATTCTTGAGAAGCTGAGTGATAAAGCAGTCTTCCACCAAGGCAAAAATGGAACAAGTTTTCATCTCACTTCATTCAACATTATTGGTTAATTTTATTTTCATTTTTAAAAGGCATTCCGCAGTGTACAATTAATTTACAGTAAAATCATTTTTTACTCTAAAGTGTTTCAGAGACATCAGTTGAATTGATCTGTGCTTTAAAAGCCTGCACTCAGGTCCCCAACGACTAAGACAGGGAATTCCAGAAGTAAAACCAGGAACCAGAAGATAAAACTGTGAGCTCCCAATATTCAGACTTGTGAACACCGCAAAAGGAAATACTGCTTTCAAAAAGATCTGGCCTGAATATTGCTGGATTAAAACAAAAGATCTAAGATTAAACAATAAAGCAAATCACTTAGAGATTTACAGTTTGGCTGATTCAGCGAGAGAAGAGGTAGTCTTGTGTTCAGGATGTTGTGGGAATACAAGTGATTTTATTTTACTTTGAGGAGTTCCTCCGTGTGCCTCTCACACTCAGAAAGCTCACACTTCTACCCAATCAGAGCCCACTTGTCACACCACTCTCCAGATTCCAGTGTGCCCCTCTACGTGACAAAGGCCATAATCCTCTCTTTCTATAAATGTCAAAATAATCCGTAATTATCTGAAAACACCAGTGCCAGAGGTAATTCAAAAGTTCTTATTTTTCAGGTAGAACAGCATTTAAAGCACATCCCCTTCTTGGTCTTCCCTGCTCAAAGAATAATGAGCAGAGTCCATCCTGCATTTGGTGATCTTTGGTCTTGTGATTTGGGGAGGCACCATGGATAAACTGCTTCAAATGTGAAGGTCAATGTAAAGGGAAATTTAGGAGTTAGTTATACCTTGTGTGGTATAGCAGTGGGCTCCCCTGATGAATTTCAAGTTAAATACTGTTACTAAAGTGTGCTGTATACAGGGAAATGGAATTCCATATGAAAAACTTTAATATACAGGGTCATCCTTGTGATACATATAAGAAAGTTTATGGCCTTGCACTGCAAAGAACCAAGTTATTTTCCTATTACCTAAGTAGAGGAGCATTATTGTTTATTCAGTAGAGATGACGGGCAGCAGAGCCCCATCTCCCACCACACTGGTCCACTGACATAGTATGTGGTAAGCCCACCCCCAGACTTGTAGTTCCTGAGTCCTCAGCTTTTCTGTCCTCTGTCATGCCATGCTATTTGTCATCAACAGAATTAAGCATTCGGTCACAGTCCCATCCTTCCATTTCCGTGGGCACTGTAGATATGCCCACCTTTAAGTGTTTCTTCTTCAAGTAAGTTCTTGGCTTGTTCTCTAAATGCATAAAGATAATATTGGAGAGTAATGGGAAATAAATATCTATTTAAAGAGTTTTTGAGGAGGTAGAGGGAAAGGAAAGCAAGATATGTACTATAATCTCTCTTCTCACTACCCAATCCACAAAGATGGAAGAGACAATATACTAAGAAAGCTTATCAAGAAAATCAGGATTAAGAAGACACTGTGGCAACAGATTTTCAGGGAATAAATGAGAAAAACCTATGTCTTAGACTTTTAAAATACTGTTTAAAATCTACCTCAGGAAAAGAACTAGGATTAGTAGGTGGCTCATCTGCATGTATACTGACAGAATCATAGTTGTTTTTTTTTTTTTTTCAAAGTTCACTTTACAAATGGTATGTTGACTTACAGGATTACTACAAAACCCAAAATTTACTTTTGTCAACTTTTAAAAAACAGGATTATAATCACCCCAGCTTGTTTTCTTTGCAGTTGTCCTGGAGATAAAAATAGTTGTTGAATAAATATATAATAGAGGGCTTTGTTTTTTTTTTTTTTTTTGCTTTCTGTAATATGGCTGTGGTCATAATGGCCAGCATGTTCTTCAGCGTAGCAACCCATCAAGACGGAATGACACCTGAAATCCCAAACGAAGCCTGAAATGTCCTTAGAGGGACAAGCAGGATTGCTGCTGGTTTACGCCGGCTTCATCGCATGTGGAAACCTTCAGATCTCCCGGTGCCATAAATGAATGAGATGGTGTCATTGTTGGTTCCACAGGACGAAGAGGACCGGGGCATTGTGCGGCGAAAGCCAGAAAGAGTCCACGATGCTGTACTGCGTGTAGCCCAAAAAAAAGCCAAAAGCCACGTCAGTGACATTGTGCCGCCCCAGCATGACCCTGGAGAAGCCCACGATGAAGGCCCATAGGACCACAAGCACCCTCAGCGGAATGGCCAGCACCAAGTGGTTCAGGATGAACCGCGACACCAGGGCGGCCCTGGTGGCGTGGCCCGAGGGGAAGGAGTACTTGTCCACTGAGAGGGTGACAAACATGTCCATCTGGTTGTGAGCCGGGCGGCGCCTGCGCACCAGCCCCTTGATCAGGGCCACCAGCAGCAGGTCCAAGAGCAGGGCGAAGAGCAGGTTCATGAGCACCTCGCGCCCGGCCCAGCTGTCGCTCCTGGACAGGCAATAGAGCGTCCCCAGGAGCCAGGGGATGCCGTGTCCCGAGATCTCCAGCAGCTTCATAAGAGGCCGCATGCTACCCCAGGACGAGCTCTCTCCGGCGCACACCCCCAGCTTCTTGGACAGCCACAGGTCGATGGCCAGCAGGGAGCGCAGGGCGATGCCCAGGAAGGACGGGTTCAGGTCCATGCGGTCTTCCTCCGGCAGCGGGGCGGGGGCTGCCTGCGAGGGGCCGGCCCCGGCCAGAGGGAAGGAGCCGCGGCGGTGCACCGGACTCTCGGACGCGCGCAGCCGGGCGCAGGTGGGGTCCGCGCCGGGCGCGCGGCTGCCGAGCAGGGACTGGAACTCGAACCGGCCGCCGCCGCCGCCGTGGGCCGGGCTGCCGGGGCTGCTGGTGCTTGAGGCGGAGGCGGCCAGCGGGCGTCCGTCCGCGTTCCTCCGGGGGCTCGGCATCGCGGCGGGGGTCACGGACCCCAGGAGCCGACCGGCCTAGCGAGAGACTCCCGGCCCTGCAGCCTCTTCCGCTTCCGCACTGCCATCCCGGAGGGGCGGGGAGAGGAGCCGGCGAGAGGACGATTGTGACACCTGGCGGAGACGTGGGAGGAAACTGGAATTTCTACTCGAGGAAGGCGAGGACAGGGGGAGATGGAGGTGTGGGAGGTCCAGGCGAAGGGGTGCGGGGGTGGTGGTGGGGGGTTGACGTCGGCTGTGGGAGTTCAGGAAAAACAGAGCTCCGTTTAAAAAACGACACCAAACAAACCCTGTTCTCTGTTTTTTCTTTGTTTTTAAGATTTCTTGTCCAGGGGTGTTCCTTCCTGACAAGCAAGATGTGTACCTTGGGGTGTACCTCCTAAATCAATACCTGGAGACCGACTGCTTTCCCTCTGTGTTCCCTGTTATGATTCAGCAGAGCATGAGGTTTGAAAAGGTGATCCTGACTTTCTCATTGCCAAATAGAGAAGTTTAAATGTTGTTGTCTGGAGATCATCTTAATGGGTCTTATAAAGTTATTTTGTACATTTTCTTAAAAGAAAAAAAAGATTTGAAGGCACCTCAGAACAGTACAGAACCAGAGTTGGAGGACTTGCTTTTGCATTGTAGGTCTGAGCCAAGTTCTATCAACCTAGCGCTAAATGCCCTGGTGGATGCTTTCTATTCTTGGAATTCCCATGGCATTTTCTAACTGGAGCAGAGAGAGCATTTTCAGAATGTTCTTGGAGGTGTCAGAGGCAGCTGCATTACATTTATGACCGAGATTATCAGTAAATTAGTGGACCTTAGAAACAAACTTTTGTAGACTCAGAAAAATAATGAAAAAAACTATATTCAAATTAGTAAGATCCTGTATCTGAAATCCTGTAACAAAACAAGCCTCTTGAGATTTATTGAATTTTCTTAGGTCGTCCTTGGTTTATTTAGCTACAGTGATAAAGGCTAGGTTCTATTCCAGTGAATATGAACATGATATTAATTGAACATTACAAACTTCTTCCCACTTTAATTTAGAATATTAGTTTCATTATTATGAATCATGCACAGTTCTTTGAAGTTTTCGTTTTGGAATTTGGAGGCGGAATCACTTTTAACCTTGATAAGTCTAATGGTTTTTCCCCAAACAATATCGCTGAGCTGCTCTTTGGAGGAGGGGATGAGTATGGGAAGGCTAGATAAGGTAGAGCCCATCATTTTTAAAGATTTTATTTATTTATCTGACAGATAGAGAGACAGTGAGAGAGGGAACACAAGCAGGGGAAGTGGGAGAGGGAGAAGCAGGCTTCCCGCGGAGCAGGGAGCCCGATGCGGGGCTCGATCCCAGGACCCTGGGATCAAGACCTGAGCCGAACGCAGACGCTTAACGACTAAGCCACCCAGGCGTCCCGAGCCCATCATTTTTGAAGGTCTGGATGGTGTTGCCCAGAAAATGACCTGTTTCCAACTGAGACTGGGAGAGGAGATGAGGATTGATTTTCTAAAAGGCTAGGGCTGTATGTAATGTTTTTGGAAATCACAGCAGAAATTTAAATAGAGTCTACAAAACTGGTTGGATAAGAGAGGAGAGGAATAAATGGATATTACCTTGGGACATATAGTCAGAATCCAGAGGAACCCATTTCTGCTATTTAGATACTGGTAGTGGTAGGAAGTGGGTGGTGAAAATCCAGTCTATTTTTTCCCCTGGGAATATCCTTATTAGTTTATCAGGTTTCCTTCTATAGAAGACTTTAAAAAGACTTCTCTTTTAAGAGAAGCACAAGGATACAAAATCACAGAAGCACAGAATGATAATTCCGTAAATGACCTTGGAGGTCATCTAGTCCAACATCCTTGACTTGTAGAAAAGGGGGGATCAACCTCAGAGACATTAGACTCCAGATGCCACTACTGCTCTGTTGCAAAGCTGTGCATTTGAAGATTGCTAGTCAAACATGTATCACGGACCATTTTTCTTTTTATAAAATGCAGTTATTTAAAAATTTTGAAATATTGCCCTCGCGTGTGAGCTGCTTGGGTTCCTATTCCAGCTTTCTCCCACCTGGCTCCAGTTTTCTTGTATTTGTTCCATTCTCTAGCTGCAAATACTTGCAGCAAGTATCGAAGACATTTTCTCCTCCTTGGACCTGCTGTGTAACCCAGAAATGAATGTTCTAAAACATTTGGGTAAATAAGAAATCGCTTATCAAGAATGTATGAGACATTGTGTTTGAGCAATTACTCCCCAGGATCACAGTTGAGAAAATCCGTAGCCATGGATGAAGTGAAGGGATGCAAGCTGAAATAATTCAGGGGGAAAAAACCCCTCACCTGCATTTGCTTGATAAATCTAAGTCGGTAAGACAAAAATAGATTACAGGGGACAGCCTCCACTTTTGTACTTAAAGGTGAACTGGCTTTGGATCAAGAGCAGATGTTAACCATGCTTAAATTTAAACACCATTTATATCAGAACTTAAATGCCTGAAATCAAACTCTGATGAAAACTTTCATTTCTTAGCGGCTTCCAGAGTTCAGGGAGAAGGGCGTGTTATGCTTTTAATCTCAATCTCTCCCAGACCCTTCAGCTCAAAGACAAAATAAGCAGATTTGGCATTGGCTAGACAGATATCACATTTGTCTTGTGCTTCACGATACACTTTAAGCTTATGAGGCTCTCCCTCGCTCTGGTTATTTTGGGTTCTGTAGAAGTATAGCTTAGTAGTGCCTCGTTTTCTTTTGTGTTACACGTAGATAGAATTTTTACTTATGTTCCTTTTTAGCACAACCAACTGCTAAGGTCATTTATTCAGTTAATATCGTTTAATGAGTGTCTGTGGTATGCAGAATGTATTTCTAGGTACCCAAGCAAGACTCTGAGGTTTGACGCCAGATGTGCTTTTAGCAGCAAACTGTAGGGCTAGGTCAAGTTGATGACATTTGGAGCATGTGGTAGATTCAGCTAACTCAGATTTTCCTTGTGCTTGGTACTGTGTTCTCATTCTATAGTCATTCGTTGAACTTTTAACCACATACCTGTTAAAGATACTCCTGTTGAATTTTAAAATATTATATGGCTGGAATTGGCATGTGTTAATTATTTGGAAGAATATAATCTACATTTTCTACAAGCATATATTAATAAATGTTTGAAAATTTATTTTCACCATTTTTTTTTCCTGCAGGTATTTGAAAATGCCATAGATCCTGGTGCTGTAGCAGACATTTTAGAAAGTAGGTACTCTCAAAACAAAACAAAACAACTGTTGTGTGTGTAATTGTGTGTACAGATGTAAAATTCTACTATATCCTATGTTGTAATATTTCCATGTTCAATCCATATTTATATTGAGGAGAGTCTATGTCAAATTTGAATCATGTTTTTCGTTCTCTTATAGACTCTTTTCTAGATAGAGATGGGACTTACTGGATGGTACACTTCTGTTTGTTTATTAATTTATTTACAATTAAATGGTTTTTGTATCTTCACACAGTTGTGTAACCATCACATTAATTATAAAACATTTTTATCATAGAATGAAGCCTTAAACCCATTCTTCCTTATCATTCCCAGCCCTAGGTAACTGCTAACCAATCTTTCTGTCTCTGTAGATTTGCTTATTCTGCATATTTCATGTAAATGGAATTATACAATATGTGCTCCTTTGTGACTGGCTTCTTTCCCTGAGCATAATGTTTTCAGGATTCATCTTTGCTACAGCATGTGTTAATACTTCATGTGCTTTTGTGGCCAAATAGTGTTCCATTGTATGGAGATGCTACGTTTTATTTAGTCATTCATTGGTTGATGAATAGTTGGGTTGTTTTCACGTTTGGGCTGTGATGAATAATGTTGCTATGAATATTTGTGTACAAGTTTTTTTGTTGACATATGCTTTCATTTCTCTTGGGTATATACCTAGGAATAGAAGTATGGGGTCATATGGTAATTCTTTTTAATCTCTGGAGAAACTTTACCAAAGCAGCTGAATTATCTCACATTGCACCAGCAATATGTGAGGGTTCCATTTCTGGCCAACACTTCTTATTACCCGGGCTTTTTTTTTTTTTTTAGATTTTTTTTTATTTATTTATTTGAGAGAGAGAGAATGAGAGATAGAGAGCACGAGAGGGAAGAGGGTCAGAGGGAGAAGCAGACTCCCTGCTGAGCAGGAAGCCCGATGCGGGACTCGATCCCGGGACTCCAGGATCATGACCTGAGCCGAAGGCAGTCGCTTAACCAACTGAGCCACCCAGGCGCCCCATACCTGTGCTTTTGATTGCTAGCCATCCTTGTGGGTATGAAGTGAAATCTCACTGTGGTTTGATGATGTTGAGCATTTTTTCATGTGTTTATTGACTGTATATCCTTTTTGGAGAAATGTGTATTCAGAGCTTTTGCTTATATTTTAATTGGGTTATTTGTTTTTTTATTATTGAGTTGTAATATATAGTGGACTTGTAATGTATCGAGTTCTTTGTATATTGTAGCTACAAGTCCCATATCAGATGTATGATAGATAAATGTTTTCTTCCATTCTTTGGATTATCTTTTCATTTTCTTGATGGTGTTCTTTGAAACACAAAAATTTAAAATTTTGATGAATTCAATTTTATCTGTTTTTCTTTTGTTATTTGCACTTTTGATGTCATAACTAAGAAAGCATTACCTAATTCAAGTCACAAAGATTTATGTCTATGTTTTCTTCTAAGCGTTTTATAGTTTTAACTTTTACATTTACGTCTATGACATGTATTATGTTGATTTTTATAAATAGCATGAAGTAGGGGTCCAACTTGCATCTGGATATCCAGTCATCCTGGTACCATTTGTTGATAAGAGTATTTTACCCCCATTGAATAGTATTGGCATGTTTGTTCAAAGTTAACTGAGTGTAAAAATGAAGGGTTTTTTTAAAGATTTTTTTATTTATTTGACACAGAGAGAGACAGCAAGAGAGGGAACACAAGCAGGGGGAGTGGGAGAGAGAGAAGCAGACTCTCCTCTGAGCAGGGAGCCCGAAGCGGGGCTCGATCCCAGGACCCTGGGATCATGACCTGAGCCGAAGGTAGACGCTTAACGACTGAGCCACCCAGGCACCCCAGGGTTGGTTGGTTGGTTGGTTGGTTTGTTTTTGACTCTCTATTCTGTTGATCCATATATCTATCATTATGCCAATTCCACACAATTTTGATTACTGTAGCTTTGTAAGTAAGTTTTGAAGTCAGGAAATGTGAGTCCTCTACCTTAGTTCTTTTCAAGGCAGTTTTTGCTATTTGGATTTCCTTTCCTTTCCATATGAATTTGAGGATCAGCATGTCAATTCTGCAAAGAAGCCAGCTAGGATGTTGAAAGGCATTGCACTGAACCTATGGATCAACTTAGGGAATATTTCCATCTGAACAATATTAAGTCTTCCAATCCATGAACATGGGATGTGGTGAGAATTAATTGAA